ATGAGTTTTTCTTTAAAATCTCTTAATTGTGGGATTTATACATGAATTTTCAATTGATTGCATTGTGTTCTAATGTTGTTTCTAAACAAACATTGAATTCTCTGATGTATAACTAAAATATACATGTCACTTTTTAACAAACCATACCTAATAATATCGATTTTACAGCGGTTTTTTCATTAATGTATCTTTACTTGAGGAGATTTTTTCATCAAGTTTTTAGTTGAGAATTTTTTTCATCAAAATCTTTTAGTTGAGAGGTTTTTACATGAGAATAATTTAATTGAGGGGTTTAATAGATCAAACAATACTAGAGAGGTTCTTCATTAAAAGCCCATTTTTTTATTTATCTCATAAACCCGTGGGTTACCCACGACCGTAATGGGTTTACCCATTAAACCCATAATCTTATTAGGGGTAACCCACCAAAATCCATTTATTTATATGAGTAAAAAAATCCAACCCTTACCCTCTAAAATTATGGACAGATTTTAGTAAAATTTTTTGTCAACCACAAATGAAAAAGAAAAAAAGTAGTAACCAGTAAAACGGTATTTATTAATTTTATTCATATGAAAGTTACTTATGTCTTAATGAACAAACACAGTTTTATACAAAGGAGTCCGTTAGTGATTATACAATAAATAAGCCAGTCCGTTTCAAGTTTAGTACTAGTAAAAAACCGAAAGCTGCAAAATATAAAAATCAATTTAAGTATTAATGAGACATAACTCAAAAGATGACGATGATGAATCCCAAAACCATAGTTACAAACATCCTCTTCCTACTTATCCTGCTGCAAATCTCAAACGTTGTATTCTCTTTAGAAGCGTACGTGAGGAAGGATTATAAATCGGAATATGTCGTTCGACCAGGCACTGTCACACACATAGTCGTCACTAACGATCTACATGGTCTCAAGAAAGGAAACGCCGGTTTCGTATGCGCTCATGGTCCCAAGGTTTGGAGGAAAAGCAAACCGGGAGACCGGTACGTTGTGCTTCGGTTCGAGGACAACAGTAAGATCAGGTACAAAAACATACATTGCCATCTCCGGTCGAATCGCGGGTTTGTCAATGTTCCTATTAGTATTCATCCAGACACATCCGCTATGTGTTACCCTAGTTATGTTTGTCATTACTCAATTAGAAAAGAAGGAGTTTATTACAAGCCTGAGAGGAAGCTCTATCCATGGCGACCGTTTCAACGATCTGCCAAAGGACGTCGTCCCAAGGTCTAAAATGATTATCGACAAGATGATGTATGTGTGCATTGTAAATAATTATGGATGTAAGTACTTTGCGATGCACATTGTTTCTCTTATATATAGGTCGATATATGATAAGTATATCGTAATCTAATAATTTGGTTTCTATGAAACTAAAATATAAGTTTGAAGACTATTAAACTAAAATCTTGCATTTGTAACTAGGCTTAATTATCTAGTTTAGGTAAATTAAATGGCATGGAGACATTTTAATGGGAAATTAGTGGTGAAAGGACTTTTGTCCGGTTTATGAGTCAACCTAGAATCATTAATTCGATGCAGAATAGTTAGGTTCGTTCAAAAGGACCAGCAATACACTCTAATCCTATGGGATACAAATTCAACTAAGTGATCAAAGTGGTTTAAGTTGTCACGATTAATCAAGCAATTAAAGTAGATTCGGTGTAAACAAATGATATTAAAAGCGTTAGGTCAAGGGAAAGTAKCTCAGGAATTAGATCATCTAGAACCAAGCAATTATTCAGGTTATCAGTTACGAACCAATCTAGAACTCGACCATAAAACTAAGAGGATCCACTCTCGTGGCATCAACTACTTCATCAATCAATCTAACACCCTAAACTGTCGTTTGAGATTACAAAGAATGATGAGCATTAAAGAGGATAGGATCGATTTGTTCACGACTCGCCTTAACTTCAACTGTCGTTGGCTAAGGACGAATC